ATAATGCTCACTCTCATTCTGGATTTCTTAAGCATCTAATGCTAAAAACTGGAAGGTAATAATAATAATTTTCCTTTTTTTTTTGAAAGAATATTAATAATTTTGGATTTAATTATTTATTAAGCACAAATAAATTTTAGTTCCAATGGCCTTTAAGTTCATAGCACTTTAAGCTTGAAAGAATTTTGGATACCTTATTTCTCTTTTAAAATTTTAAACCTTAAAAAGCTGTCAAGTGTTTGTCAAAGAAGTCTTTGGGAACGATAGATAAAGGAAAACATGGGTACTTGATGAAATGAGAGAACCAGATAGGATGGATGCGGGCGTTAACCATTTCTGAGGACCAGAAGGAGTTATTATTCAAACCAAAAGATTAGTTGGAAGAGCTTCTGTTGCTATAAGATAAAATGTAAGAATCAAGTTGGAATTTTGGAGGTTTTACAATGTGTTTGCGAATAGGATGTAGAACGCTATAGTTTGATGAGGGGAAAATTGGAGTTTTTGGTTGTGAACAATGGTTGTAGGATGTTTGTAAGATGATCAAACAATAAAATTGTAGAAAACTGGGCTCAGTTTGATGGGGGGAAAGATGGAGTTTTTGGTTGATGAACAATGGATTCCAAACGAGCTACAAGATATTATGTTTTTTCTATTTAAAAATTAAAAGCTAGTTGCCTTAAATGGTGGTTTGAAATAAAATTAAAAAATTGGGAACTAAATTACAATGGAAAATATTTTTAGAATTAAATTGAGTATCTGCGCTAATTTATATTATAAAATAAGATAGCTAAAGTTATTAAATGAGAGGTAGTGGTAGGATCATTATTTTTTCAGGTAATTTTCAAATTAGTTCCGAAAGTTTGACGCTTATTATAATTTATTCTTTTTTTGGCTATAATTTGGTTCTTGACATTTTCAATTTATTTATTTTTTCTCTATTTTCTAATTAAAAAATTTAAAATGATTAGATCATGTTTGGATGCTTTAAAAAATAATTCAAAAAATAACTTTGACGAATTAATTAAATTAATAAAAATAAAAATTAAGTATAATATTATTATTAGTTTATTAATCTATTAATTTAATTAATTAGTCAAAATCATTCCTTTGAGTTGTTTCTTGAAGCATGCAAAAATGTTTTAACTATTTTAGCTTTTTCCATTTGAAAACGAAAAGAAACTACGCGTTTGGAATAAACAGAAAATGTCATGAAATAAAGTGTAAAAAGAAATATTAGGAGCCAAATTGTAACAAGTGCAATACTTTGGGGACAATTTAGTTTGCTTTCCTTTTTCCCCTCAATGAGGGGTATAGTGGTCCAAAATACTATTATGTATTTTTCTTTTTTGCCAAACTCTGCTGTGAGCACATCTGACCATGAAAAAAGATCAACTCAAAAACCCTCAGGAATGAAGATAACAGTCTTTGGAAGAAAGTTATTATGTGCAAATGGTTTGGAAACAATGTGTATGACCGTACTGTTTTGGAGAAGTTTAAGTTTGGTCTCAGTCTATGGAATAATATTTGGAGCCATAGTAAAATGATCCTAAATAATTTCAAATAGATTGTTGGAAAGGCTGTCAAAGTTGGATTTTGGCATGATACTTGGTGTGGGCAAATGAGCCTCCAAAGTCAATTTCCTCACATATTTGCTATCGCAAGAAATAAAGACATTCTTCTGGAAAATGCTTATGGAATCAGCTCCCCTCTGACTCGGAATGTGACTGTCACTAGGAATTTGAAAGAGTGGGAGGTTGAAGAATATGAAAATATTCTCCAAATCCTTGTTAGTGTTAAAATGGGTACTGAAACTGATAAATTAAGTTAGAACCTAAACAAAAATGGCTCTTTTACTATCAAATCTCTATATAGAAACTTGATAGACAAAAATCACTCTATTACTATCTTCCCTTATAAAATCATATGGAATAGTTATATTCCACCTAAAATTTCGGTGTTTGCATGGGAAGCAGTTATGGACTTTATCCTCACGCTTGACAACCTTATGAGAAGAGGTTTTATGTTGGCTAACTGGTGTGTCTTATGCAAGCAAAATATGAAATTTGCAACCATCTTCTTCATTTCTGCCCAACATCCTACGAACTATGGATTATGGTATATAAGCTGTTTAGTGTCTCTTCAAAGGTGAATTGTTAGCATTGGAAGGACTCACTTCAGGTAAAAAGTGGCATAGGGTCATTCTTTTAATAATTCTTTGGATTATTTGGAAAGAAAGAAACTGTAGGATTTTTGAAAGCAAAGAAACAAACTTTGTTTTTATAAAGGATAGATGGCTTTACTTTTTTGGCTCTATCATCCTTGGTCGCAATCCTAACTCTTTTGATGATCCTGGACACATTGTTGATATACTCACTGATCTATAAATACTCTCTTTTGTACATGGGTTCGCCCCATCGATGCTTTTTTTAATATTACTACTCACTTTTATCTTTTTTTAAAAAAGTGTTTTATGGCTCCTTTACAGCTAAAGTTATGGACCCTCCTTTTTTCATTCTTGGCTCACAAAAAGATGCCCGTTTACTTGCAAAAAGCTTGCAGCCTATGTATACCTCGCATGGGAAGGTGAAATATAAGCTGTAGGATTGTCAAACTTTTATGGCGAAGAACAATGAAATTTAATGAAAATCCATTGTAAAGAATCAAGAATGTGAGAGAACATTAGAAACTGGCCTAGGAAACTAAATGGGTAAATAAAAGGGGACTGAATGAACCCATAATTTAAAACATACATGGTTAATGCTGAATAGATACCCTAGTATTTTTATTAAAATAAAAATGATAACCTAGTATTTCAAAATTAGACTAAATCTAATAATAACCTCTCAATATAGAGCATTGATATAGAGAAGCAACAAAAAGGAATTCAAAGTTTCAGAAGCATGTAGCTAGGAACACTTTCTTGGGGATACACTAGTTAAATTGTTGAATGAAGAGGTGGTGCAATACTTGGTGCTACTCTAACATGAGGTGGTGCCTGCCAAATTCCTCAATGTTGATTTTTTTTGTTTCTTGTTCTTAAAAGATATGGACATGCTTGATACTTATAGTGCATCATTTTGTCCTTTAATTCGTACAATCATAATTTTGATGGTTTCATTATTTTTTCCTTTTCGAGGTTTCTTTAAATATTCATTAGCTACTATTTGTATCAAGGGATGTGAAGACTGGTTTGCCAGAACTTATGGTTAATTTTGTGACCTCATCCTACAAGCCAGAGCTGCTGAAGCCTCTAGTTGACAAAATTTCAACTATTCCTGGAGTGGTTTGTATGAAAAATCTCTGAATTTTGTTTGCATTTAATTTTTATATTTTATCCTACTGGAACTAGCCTTTCAGCTTTCAGCATACTCTGTAAGACCATAGTCACATTTAGATACCCGGTGGACTGGGCTAAACAACACAAGCAAGTAGGTATAAGCATCTGTCATGCACAACTAAAATGCAGTTCCCATGAATACTTCTCTTGTCCTCTTCTAGGGATTGGAGAAGGATGGTGGTGGCATATAAGACTTCTCTCTAATGAATAAAACCTTTGAAGGCTATATATGGTGTTATAACTCTCTAAGGAGTCTCTTGATTTTTCCTAAAAAAAATTTAACTTATAAGTTGCTTTTGAAACTTTTTAATGCAATTTGCAGGGTAGACTTCCTGTCATGCTCTTGCTTCCCTGAAATTTTGTCCACATTCTTGCAAACTGTTATTGACTTACGGCAAATGGAGTTTCAAAGTTTCAATATTTCAAATAACATGCAAGTGGCTGTTGAATCTTCTTTATTTTCTCAATCAATGTGTTATTTTCCTCAAATGTGCAATATAGAACTGTTGTTCAAATGTCTGGAAATCACTTTGCAAATGTACATTGTGGCTTTAATGTAAATTAGTTAAACTGTACTTTATTCCTTTCAATTTTAACTTTTTCTCCCCTTGGGTGATTAATAGGTAAGTGTCATGAATAATGTGAATACTTCAGTTGGTAACACATCTGTTGGAGAGGAGGAATATATTTTACACGGGAAATCTACCATCACGGAGACCTTAAGAGGTCTTACGTTTCAAATTTCAGCCAACTCCTTTTTCCAAACAAATACTCACCAGGTACAAAACATTGTAATCTTAGTTTAATTAACAGTTAGGGTGCTGTTTACTATAACATAATTCCCTTCTTAAATTACCTATTATATTTCGTTACTATACTTGACAGGGAGGAAAAATTTTACAATGTTCAGGCAGAAGTTTTATATAAACTCATTGAAGAGTGTGCTGGTCTCAGAGGAGATGGTTCAGAAACTGTTCTTGACCTTTTCTGTGGAACTGGTACCATCGGTCTGACACTTGCCAGAAGGTGAATCTCATTTCACGTTTTATCAATATTGGACTACTTGCAATGTATGCCATGTTTTCATTTTCTTCTTTCTATTTTATCAGGGTTAAACAGGTTTTTGGCTACGAAGTAGTTCCTCAAGCTATCTTGGATGCTCAGCAAAATGCTAAGCTGAATGGCATAAATAATGCAATTTTTGTACAAGGGGATCTTAATAAAATAGGCGAAAATTTTGGCAATGATTTTTCAAAGCCTGATATCGTCATTTCAGGTTATCTTCTTTTTTAGTAAACCAGTTTTACAATTTTTTTAAAATATTACATATTCAGAAATTAAACTACTGGAAAAAACCAGTGGAATGTTAGAGGGAATTCCTAGGAGAATAACAAAATAAGTAATCTAGATATGACGGTCAAATTATAGCCCCTTTATTTACAAGCTCTATCTCAGTTGTGTTGGCGTACAGAATCTGGCAGGAGATATCCCAATATAAGCATCTATATGGATCATTGACTAGTAGAGAAAAAGTTAAACCTTTTTGCTAATTCTTGACCTTGGTTAATTGCTTAATCTAGTCTATCTGACTGATTACAAGAGGGAAAAGTTAAAAACTTTGCTGTCAGCCCAGTTCTTCTCTTTAGGTAATTGCTTCTTCTGATGTCTCTCTTGAGGTTGCCAGGAGAAACATAAATTAGGAATGCCTTGGAAACATCTCTCCTTGCCTCGTGTATATGTATTTCAAACTTCTGGGGTACTGTTATGAAATAGATATATGGAATTTACATGTTCGCAAAATATAGGTCCAAGATGAGCATGCAGTAACGTGTAGATATCATTGTTAAGAATGCTGGAGGCATTCACTTTCCAAATGTTCAATTAGTTAAGGGTGGATTATGTTTCCGTTCTCTCATATCTGTTTACATTGCAGACTGGAATTTGCATAAATTATTGATAATACAACAAACGAATTTATGATCATTAGATTCGTTATTCCTTACTCGAAGATACTCAACAATCAGGTCTTTCCATCTTTTGATAATGGGAAATTTTGCAGATCCCAATCGACCTGGTATGCACTTGAAGCTGATTAAATTTTTGTTAAAGCTCAAGGCCCCACACATCGTTTATATATCTTGTAATCCTGCAACATGTGCACGTGATCTTGATTACCTTTGTCATGGTCTGGTATGTATTGTTCCTTTGCAATGACTCACTTGTTTCTTCAAGTTTCTATTTCCTTATGCATTCAAATCCCCCTATGCAGATTGACCAAGATATTAAAGGTTGTTACAAACTTAAAAGCATACAGCCAGTCGATATGTTCCCTCACACTCCTCATATTGAGTGTGTTTGCTTGTTAGAGCTTCGTTGACTACCTTGTTCCCATACTTGTCACTGTTGAGGTTTAAATGGTCCATCACTCTGTAGTAGTATCTGAAGATCAGAAGCATCCAGCATCCATATCTTTCTGGATGAAATGAAGTCAGCTCCTTTTTCACTGCTGAGGTTTGAAGGATTTCCTTTCTTCCTCTTTGAATGTTGCAATCTGAAAATATAAGGTTCTCTGTAAACACCAGTGCTTGACATGTTCAGCAGCCAATACTGGATCAAAAAGAAAGAAGCAGATATTCTGGAAGGATTTTTAGCTACAAAACAGGGAACCTGTATGTGACAGAACATCTGAGTAGGAAAGTTCTTTATTCTTTATATTGGCATTTCTCATATACCTTTTGTTGAATAGTATGTATTCTTTTCTCTCTTCTTGGGAATCCTTAAAATTAGATTAGTACAATATGATTTGTTTCGGTTCCTAGTAAGACTGGTGACATCTTTGGAAAAATTATTTAAAATTCAAATTTTATTTTTTTACAGAACTATTCGCCTCGCGTCACATAGGTTGTGACAATATGCAACCTCGCTAACGCAGTGAAGCATTTTGAGAGGCCTTAGAAAAACACTCTGGGAGTTTCTAAAGCCGTTTCTGACCAAGTTAAATCTTTTGATAAGGTTGCAATTTCAAAAGGACGAACTCGTCAACATTTAAGTGGACTTCCCAATGATAGAGTCACAAACATGTTTCACACATTATTGAGTCTACAATAATTGATTTTGTGGACATTGCAACACAGTGTCATAATTCTTAAGATTCTAGTCAGCTGTTGCAAAGCTTAGGTAAACCTGAGCAGGATAATGATGGATGACCTCAAAAAAGGGTAGTCTTTAAGGAAGAATAAAAGCTTGTATTCATATTCAACCTAGGATATCCATTGAATCCATTAAGGATTGTCACCAATAAAACAACAAAAGTGCATTTTCATAGTGCTATTGCCTACTTTAGTTTGATCATTGGTCTGAGGATGATAGGACAAACTGAAAGCAATTTTAGTGCTATAAGAATGGAATATTCCCTTCAAAAAAATGTCGGTAAAGACCAGATCTCTATCACTTACAACATATTAAAGCAAACCTGCAATTCGAAGACATAATCAAAATAGCTGTGCAAAGATGAGAGAGGGGAACAAAGTGAGCATACTTTGAGAAACGGTCCACAATCACCAAAAAACATTCTTGCCACGAGAAGGTAGAAATGCTTCCGCAAAGTCCAAAGAGATATCATATCAAACTTGGTGGAGAAGTAATCGTTGCAATAAGCACGCAGGTTACAAAATTTCTACTTTATTGCGTTAAAAAACCACCTAAGAATGAACAAAATTCCTCATCTGAGACTCCATACCTTCGCAGAAAAAAATGCATAGACATGGGACTTAAGGTTTTTTGATACCTTTCATGAAACTGGTTATAGATTGTAGTTACAAGTAAATTGCAAAGGAGGATTCAAGAGGAAGGAAATCCTCTTTTTATATAAAAGTAGTCTATCTTTTACTAGCCAATTGTCAATAAATTCTCCTTTCGACAGTCCTCGTAGCTAGTTGTTGAAGAGACATTGAATTTTTTACCTCTTCACAAATGCTATCGAAGTAGTCAAGAGATGGAATAAAAAAAAGCCTGGTAAGTAAACTCAAAATTTCTCGAAAGAGCATCAACCACAACATTTTCATGTACTTCTCAATGTTCTACAATAAAAGCAAACCCATGTAACTCATTGATCCAAAATTGCTATGGAGAATTCAAAACACGCTGTTCCAGTATGAAGGTCTGTTTTAATATGGAACTATTATCTCCACGACACTAATGGCAAATTGTCTTGACTGATCTAATTCTATTCGTAAAAATGAATAGAATATAAATTAATTTGTTCTAATAGAATATGAAAATAATATGTATAAATTTATTAGATGTGCAAAAGACAGTAATAATACTATTAATTATAAATATAATAAAAGAATAAAAGTAATTTAGTCAATCACTCAAATTAAAAATTTCTATCTTCTCTTTTTTTCTGGGAAAAAAATTGTGCTTCTTAGAGAAACTAATTTCCCTTTACTTCTGTTTCATTCCGTCCTTCCTCTCCTCCCAAACATACCCTTCCTTGCTCCTCTCAGCACCTGTTCTTTCTGCAACATTTTCTTCTCCTATTTGCCGCGAAATCATCGACCTCGAGCCTTTGAAAAATGAAAAAAAAAAACATCAATTTTCATGTCTCAACCTTCTTTTTACTATCCGTAGTAGGCAAGAAAATCACCCGTTTGATCGAGTACCAGAAGTCTCTTCACCATTGAACACTTGGTTTTGTGTTCAATTTCTCCAACTTGAGTGTTTGAAGTTACGATGGCATTTTGGTAATGGCAATTTTCTTCTTTCTTTTTTCTCAATTATAAATTTTGTTTTTGAACTGTGAGCTATTGCTGTACATACATAGACATACAAATATACTCCTGCTTTTAAACAATGGGTTATGCTCATTTCTTATGTAGATATTCTTTTTAGTGGTAGGACATGCCCATAACCCATTGCAATGCGATGAAAATGATTGTATTATTATTTACTTTTATCTAAACAAATAATTTTATTATATGAATAATTATAAATAAATTACATTTCAAGAATATTTAAATTTACGTACTCAATGTTATAAATGTACTTCCAGTAAGACAAGATAACAGTTGAAAGTGGCCTAGCATTCATCAGGTTGGAAATTAGAAACATTGTTTTTCTATTACTGATTGGTAATACAGTCTCATAATTCTCTTGTCAAAGAAGAAATTGAAAGAAAAATTCTACCATTTAAATTCTGATATTGACCAAGTTTAGAGAAACCACTTGGGAAAATAAGTTCTGATCAGAATAATGTACAACCTGAAAAGAGAAATGGCAAAGGATTGAGGAGATGATTTGATAAAGGCATCTCAAAGTTCATCCTTGTAGTCTTTCTCAGGCAAATCAAGTTTTGGTTGTGATTGGAGAAGAAATCTAGTGGCCAATGATGCATGAAGTGCAGCACCAATAGGAAGTACATCTTCATTAATCTTGAAATAAGGCGAGTGTCCGTTTTCAAGTGGCAGCTCACTCTTATTCTGCATTCCAATAAAGAAGAAGTATCCTGGTATAACCTCTTGGTAAAATGAAAAATCCTCAGATCCCATCAATGGTTTCATGTCCAGGAGGTTGTTGGTGCCAAGCATATCTCCTGCAACATTTTCAAAGTACGAATGCAAGTTTTTATCGTTTATGGTTGGAGGAAATAGAGGCTTCGTGTCTTCAAAGAAGTTGACAGTTGCAATACACCTCTGGACAGCAGCTTGTGCAGTTATCACCTGTTACAGATGCAATCACCAGAATCTTGATTGGAGCTTTATTTCCAAAAAAAAAATCTAAAAAGAAAGAATTTTATAGAGGAATTGATAGCATCCATTAATCTATAAGGTTATCCAGATTTTTTCCATTTCCCACAGACTTGTTTTTCATACTTCATTTTCTTTTTCACTCCCTTTTATTCTAAACAAGAAATAAGACCGACTTAATCAAACACTGGCAATATAGCTCAGTTTTTAGTCCTCTCCACCTTTGTGGCAGTAGAGGGTTAATGTCTGGTGTTCTATACCAATGTTTCATAAGGATTATACAGCTAAAAACTGGGTTACTGTCAGGAAATCTCTGGTTACAGTTAATTCCCACCTCCTGTAACTTTCATTTCCACGTCCTCTAAGTTGAAGCAGCACGAATAACTATTTTGTTCTCTTAAAGATAAGATTTTGCAATTATTGATATGAAGATATCACCACAGACAGAGGGGAAAGAGTTATGAACATGTGGTAGGTTATACTACCTGCTCAATGCGTTGCCTAATTTGCAAGAGGTTTTCCCTCGAAAAGGCGCGGAAGGTCCCACCAATTGTAACTGAATCTGGAATGACATTGAAAGCTCCACCTCCTTGAAATTTTGCTACTGTAACCACCTAAAAGTGAACACCTTATTCTGAGAATACTTGGACAAATGCAGATTAAATAAAAATGTGGTGCTCGGCAGGTTGTGCTCTCTGGCAAACAAGGCTCAAAGAAGAAATAAGACCTACCAATATATATAGGATAACAGTTTCCCCAAGATTTTGGAAAAAAAAAATTTCAACTATTTGAACAATCCAAACTAATATTAACATATCTGAGTTGTATGGCAGTCTTTGCTAACTTTCAGTCTCTGAGATCATAAATTTATGATACATGTTGATCCCTATTTCTGATTGATCTTGACATCAAGATGATGACCTCTTAGTATAAATTATATACTCTTTCTTTTAAAAAGAGAAACTATTTTTCTGATTGATCTTGACATCAAGATGATGACCTCTTAGTAAAAATTATATACTCTTTCTTTTAAAAAGAGAAACTAACTATTTTTGAGATTTCAATGATGTCATTAACTTGGATATTTTAACTAAAGCCATGTTTTTTGCAGAATTGCTTTGTGGGACACCTGGATCACCATAAGAAAAACTAGCATATAGTTTCTCTTCTGTTTCACATCACAATTTTTCTTCCCCATAATTAACATAGAAAGCAAAACAATAAAACGGTCAGTAGTATTCGAAAGGATTCCAACAGCCAACCTGTTGTAAGCTAATCACATGTTGGTAACATAATAATTCAGAAGAACTGTTACAGTCATGTTGACCATAACTGAACATGTCACTAAAATATTTCTTTTCTACCGAGAAGTTACCCCATTTCTTTTGCAATTTTAATATGTCGTATTGTGTTTGGTTAAACAATAGTTCAGATTTTCTTAATCAAGCACAGGATGCAAACCGAAGAAGCTAGCAACACCATAGATAGAAATTTACCTGTGAGTCTAGTGGGTCAGCTTCACGCGAAACAAGATGTTGTAAGCTAACAATCACGTTTGAAGCTGCCAAAATTGGGTCTATTGAGTACTGAGGAAGGGCTGCATGACCTCCTTTTCCACTTATTACAGCTTCAAAGAAGCCACTCCCAGCCAAAAGAGGACCTTGTCTAGCAGCCACTTGGCCTATAGGTATGTTAGGAAGAACATGCAACCCAAAGATAGCCTCAACGTTCTCCAATATTCCAGCATCAACAATTTTCTTTGCCCCTCCACCTCCTTCCTCAGCTGGTTGGAAAACAAGAATAACTGTGCCCTGATGAAACAAGCAAAAGCTGACATTTAAAGAGAAAGAAAAATGCTCTTTTACCCAAAAGAAAAAGAAACAAGAAAAGAAGAAGCTCAAAAAACATTCTGACTTTCCTAGGATTTCTTTCCAAGAAATTTCAGTTATAACATTTTCTTTCTTGGCTTCCTTTACATTGTGAAATTTTTTATATAGCCCTCTAATTTCTAGCTGCCGTGTCTCTTCTGCTTAGAAGTTAGAAGTTTTCATAACAAGAATCAGGCTCTTGGAATGTACATTTCACTTTCCAAAAATAGATAACTTATCCAAAGAGAAGAAAGTGATATGCAGGAGACTCAACAAGAATCAACAAGAAAAGAGCTAACCTTAAGTTGTTGGCGATTGTCTTGGAGCAGCTTTGCAGCACCAAGAAGCATTGCAACATGAGCATCATGTCCACAAGCATGCATCTTCCCAGGAATTTTACTCTTGTGTTCCCACTCCACCATTTCCTGTGCAACATAAAATTCCACCAACCCATTCAAATTCACAACATAAAATTTCATTTTTCCTCAGGGGAAAACAGATCATTTTGCAGTATTAGGGATTATAGATGTTCAAACATTAATTAAAAGTCTCCGCAAGATTAATTAACCTCAAAATTTACACCACAAGCCGACCATCCGGCAACAATAATAACTTATGGAACTAGTAAACAAATCAGGAAAAATAAAAAGAATAATCAGATTTAAAGCAGACCTGCATCGCGAGAGCATCCATATCCGCTCTTAGTGCGACAAATGGTGATTGACCAGTACCAACGTAGGCAATAACACCAGTTACAGCAACTGGGTATTTGTAAGAAATTCCCAGTTCGTCAAGTTGTGCTCTAACAAATTTACTGGTCTCAAATTCCTCAAATCCCAGCTCTGGGTATTCATGTATCTTCCTCCGAATACCCACCATCCAATCAACCAAGTGTCGCTCTTTAGCCAAATTAAGAAACTTTATGGGGATCTGAGACAGATCATCGAAGGCCAAAGAAGATGAAGATGCAAGATGCAAGTGAGTGAGGACATGAAGGATGAAAATCAGAGATACCCAAGCCATGATTATCCTCTCCTCACTCCCTCACAAACAATCAGAAAAATCACAACTTTAATTACAGCGCCCGCCTGAATTTTATTTTATATGGGAGAAGAACAGCAGTCGACAAGCAGTGGCTGCTTGTAACTAACTCGCACGTGTTAGACAGTAAAAGCCACGTGCTAATCGTGCAATTAAATATTGTATTATTAAAATATAATATAATAATTAAGTTTAACTAAATTATGTTATTTAAATATTAATTCAATTTTATAATTTGAATGTTGTTAATTGTGTTAAAAGTAATTATTTTTTTTAGATTAAAAGGAGCATGTAAATAGAGTGGATTTGGTAGAGTGAGGGTGGTGGAGAAGATAAATGAAGTATAAAAAAATTAGTGTCAAAATATAAATGAATAATTAAATCTATACATATACTCAATATAAGAGCAAAAATTTCATCTTTATATGGTAAGTGTTGGAGTGTGAATATTTATTCTATACTCATCCCGAGACTATTACTAAGGTAAAAAATTATTTTTCTTTATTATAAAAGATTCTTTGAATAATTTATTTGATTTAAAAAATGTTAAACGTCATCTAAATTATTACAAATAGTATTATATTATGTCAATGTATTCATTTGCGTCAGTACAAATTTAGATTTTTAATATATGTGATTTTGACAGTAATGATAAAAACTTAACGTTGAAAATTTTAATATTTTACATTCGGTAAGTATATATAGTAACGGTTGGGGTTTGGAGCGTGTTTTATAAAACCTAAATTTTCGTACTCATTGTTATAAATGTTCTTCCAACACTTGAATGTGACTTCGTATTCATCAGGTCGAACATTAGAAACATTATTTTTCCATTACCAACAGGTAATAAAGAGTCATAATTCTCTACCTAGCATTCATCAGGTTGGGTATCAGAAACATTGTTTTTCTACTACCTATTGGTAGTACAGAGTCATAATTCTCCTGATATTGACCAAGTTTGAAGAAACTAATTGAGAAAATAAATTCAGATCAGAATAATGTATAACCTGAAACAAAACAAAAAAGGCAACCGATTGAGGAGATGATTCAACCAAGGCATCTCAAAATTCATCCTTGTAGCTTTTCTCAGGCAAATCCAGTTTTGGTTGAGATTGGAGAAGAAATCTAGTGGCTAATGATGCATGAAGTGCAGCACCAATGGGAAGTACGTCTTCATTAACCTTGAAATAAGGCGAGTGTCCATTTTCAAGTGGCGGCACACTCTTATTCTGCATTCCGATATAGAAGAAGTATCCTGGTATAACCTCTTGGTAGATTGCAAAATCCTCAGATCCCATCGTGGGTTTCATCTCCAGAAGGTTATTGACGCCAAGCGTATCTCCTGCAACATTTTCAAAGAACCGATGCAAGTTTTTATCGTTTAAGGTAGGAGGGAATATAGGCTTCGTGTCTTCAAAGAAGTTGACAGTTGAGATACACCTCTGAAATGCAGCTTGTTATCACCTGTTACAGATGCAATCATCAGAATCTTGACAGGAATTTAATTCCAAAAAAAATATAAAAAAGAATAGAATTTTACGGAGTAATTGATAGTATCCATAAGTCTACAAGTTTATCCCCATCTTTTCCATTTCCCACAGATTTGCTTTTCATACTTCATTTTCTTTTTCACTCCCTTCTATTCTAAACAAGAAATAAGACTGACTTGATCAACCCCTGGCTATATAGCTCAGTTTTTAGTCCTCTCCGCCTTCGCAGCAGTAGAGAGTTAATGCCTGGTGTTCTATATCAGTGTTTCATAAGGATTATGCTGCTAAAAACATGCTTACTATCAGGAAATCTCTCGTTACAGTTAATTCCCACCCCCTGTAACTTCCATTTTCACCTCCTTCAAGTTGAAGCAGCACCAATAACAATTTCGTTCTCTTAAAGATAAAATTTGCAACTACTGCAATGGAGAAATCACTAGAGACGAGGGGGAAATTTATGAAGGCGTCATAGGTTATGGTACCTGCTCAATGCGTTTCCTAATTTGCAAGAGGCTTTCCGTTGAAAAAGCACGGAAGTTTCCACCAATGGTAACTGAATCTGGGATGACATTGAAAGCTCCACATCTTGAAATTTTGCTACTGTAACCACCTAAAACTGGACACCTTATGCTGAGAATACTTGAATAAATGCAGATTAAATAAAAATGTCGTGTTTGGCAGGTTGTGTTCTTCCCAAGATTTTGGAAAAAAATTTCAACTATCTGAACAATCCAAATTATTCTTAACATATCTGAGTTTTATGGCAACCATTGGTAACTTTCAGTCTCTGAGATCATGAATTTATGATACATGTTGATCCCTATTTCTCATTGATTTTGACATCAAGAGCATGACCTCTTTGTATAGATTATAAACTCACTCTTTTAAAAAGAAAAACTATTAACTATTGTTGAAATTTCAATAATGTCCCTGACTTCATTATTTTTACTAAAGCCATGTTTTTGCAGAATTGCTTTGCAGGACACCTGGATCACCATAAGAAAAACTAGCATATAGTTTCCCTTCTGTTTCACATCACAATTATTCTTCCCAAGAATCAACATAGAAAGGAAAACAATAAAACTGTCGGTAGGCATTCGAAAGGATTCCAACAGCCAACCTGTTGTAAGCTGATCAGAAGTTTGTAACATAATAATTCAGAAGAACTGTTACAGTCACTTTGACAATAACAGAACATACCACTAAACTATTTCAAGTTTTCTATCAAGAAGTGACCCATTTTGTTTTGCTGTGTAGACATGTTGTGCTGTGATCGGTTAATGCAAGGACAATATAGCAACTACAGAACAAAGTGAAATGAGGAACGGTTGGTTTTCTAAACTAATTGGACAGGATTACATTATTAATGGTGCCATTATAAGTTAAACAATAGTTCAGATTTTCTTAATTAAGTACAGGATAAATATGGAAGAAGATAGAAATTCACCTGTGATTCCAGTGGGTCAGCTTCACGCGAAACAAGATGTTGCAAGCTAATAATCACATTGGGACTACTGAGTACTGAGGAAGGGCTGCATGACCTCCTTTTCCACTTATCAAAGCTTCAAAGAAGCCACTCCCTGCCAAAATAGGACCTTGTCTGGAAGCTGCTTGGCCTATAGGTATTTTAGGATTAACATGCAACCCAAAGATAGCCTCAACGTTATCCAATATTCCTGCACCAACAATATCCTTTGCCCCTCCACCTCCTTCCTCATCTGGTTGGAAAACAAGAACAACTGTGCCCTAATGAAACAAACAAAAGCGGACAATATCTATCCTCAATACGTGAAAGAAGAGTGCTCTTTTACCCCAAAGAAAAAGAAACAAGAAAAGAAAGAAGCTCTATTAGACTATGCAATTTCTTATTTGGTGGGTTGATGTTGTAAACTTATCCAAAGAGAAGAACGTGATGTGCAGAGACTCAAACCTTAAGTTGTTGGCGATTGTCTGGGAGCAGCTTTGCAGCCCCAAGAAGCATTGCAACATGAGCATCATGTCCACAAGCATGCATCTTCCCAGGTATTTTACTCTTGTATTCCCACTCCACCATTTCCTGCGAAACATAAAATCCCGCCCACCCATTCAAATTCACAACATGAAATTTCATTTTTCCTCAGCAGCAAAAGAGGGGGAAACATTTGCAGTATTAGGGATTACAGATGTTCAACAATACTCAAAACTCTCCACAAGGTTAATTAACCTTAAAACTTACACCATACGCCGATCATCCAACAACAATAATAATCTATGGAGCTAGTAAATAAATCAGAAAGAATAAAAAATCAGATTTAAAGCAGACCTGCATCGCAAGAGCATCCATATCTGTTCTTAGCGCGACAAATGGTGATTGACCAGTACCAATGTAGGCAATAACACCAGCTACAGCAACTGGGTATTTGTAAGAAATTCCAAGTTCGTCAAGTTTTGCTCTAACAAGTCTACTGGTCTCAAATTCCTCAAATCCCAGTTCTGGGTATTCATGTATCTTCTTCCGAATACCCACCATCCAATCAACCAAGTGTTGTTCTTTAGCCAAATTAAGAAACTTTATGGGGATTTGAGACAGATCATCGAAAGTCAAAGAAGATGAAGATGCAAGATGCAAGTGAATGAGGACATGAAGGACGAAAATCAGAGATACCCAACTCATGATTCTCCTCTCCTCACTCCCTTACAGATAACCAGCTAAAAACTCACAACTTCAATTACAGCGCCCGACTGAATTTTATTTTATGCGGGAGAAGAACTGCAGATGGGTCGCACCAGCAGTCGACGAGGAGTGGCTGCTTGTATACATATATACAACTCGCCATTATATATATATATATATATATATAGAAGTTGCAAAATGTACAATTGAAATTGACCCTCAAAATTAGAAGATTGATCCAAATTAGCCCTTAAAAATTAACACTATTGATGGCATGCTTTTGAATAGTAAATGAGTTTTTGAAGTATCTATTCTGTTTTTTAAACATTAATTAAAACTTTAAAATGTATAATAGTTTTTACATACAAAAACAGTCGAATTTTTATTTCTGAAACCCAAACCACCGAGGTGATACCAACAAAAAATTCGACTCGAACTACTTTTGTTGCAAAAATGATTCCATTAAAATTGTTTTACAGACACATTTACTCAAACCAAACAATGCCTGTCAGATTTCAACGGCTTATCAGATGGTATAAAGTTGAAGTAGGTAAACAACATGTCAATATATTCCTTTTCTTTTTAACTTTCAGAGCATTTTCAGTCAAATATGATGTAGAAAAATTCTTCCCAAATAATTTAATGTTAGGTTGGGCAAAGGGTAGGTGAGGGCTTCCTTTAAGAAAGATGATTAGAAGGAATTCGGAAGTGAAAAGATTTTCTTTTTACAAAGAAGTGAATGATATACTTATACCTGGGTTTATTAGTTTTTCATTTTCTTTTTTTTTGCTTTGTTGATAAAAACTTGATTTCAGCATATAATTAAATATGTTGATGTTGAAGTATCTACTAAAATGAATATGTGTGAAAGCAAAAAGCATAATTCCTAATTCTTAGAGCTGTGCAGTGGAATTAGATACCAGATGAGATGTTACACTTCTCTTTTCTATATGAAGCCTCCTGCCAACCACAAACTACTCCCATTCTGCAGTCCACAATTTTGGCTTCTCTCAAATTCTACTTCAGCAGATTTTGTTAGTAAACATGGTATGTAATCCAAGAAAATGTTTTTAATTTTTTATTTTCATTTGTAATCAGGTTTCTTTGAACACTAGGATATAAAATTCGTACTATTTCAAATGGTTATTTCTTTTTTTCTAAATCAAGAGAAGTTCTGATTGTTGGTTGTTAAATCCGGATTGCTCATGATTACTTGAAGCTATATAACAAAGAAGTCGCTCTATAATATCTTCTCTTTGTTTGTGATTAACATATATCTAAATCTTAAAAATATCTCATTTTTTAATTAAAAAAATGTGATATTATTTTATAAAATAATAATAGAATATAAAATACTACTTCAAGAATTAAGTACAGTTTCTTCTTGTTGTGGTTTTCAATTATAGTAAGCTTTTGATGGTTGGAACATGTAATTGAGATGAAACTTCTGTAGGATGGTGGCAAGAATCAACAAGGTGGTGGAAAGAAACTGAATATAGTGGTAGGACCATGGGGGGGAAACGGAGGGACTAGTTGGGATGATGGAACCTATCATGGAATCCGAGAGATCACTCTTGTTTATGATAAATGCATCGATTCCATCTCTGTTGTGTACGATAAGAATGGAAAACCAGTAAAAGCAGAAAAACATGGAGGTGTAGGAGGCAGTCACACAACAGAGGTTAGCTAAATTCTATGTGATCCTTCCCCATGTTTTCACCTTTGATTTTCCTTTGCATTTTTATGATATGCTGTTGATGTTCAGAACTTATTTGTTGGTGTCAGATAAAGCTGAATTATCCAGAGGAGTACTTGGTAAATGTAAGTGGTTATTACTGTCCGGTAGTTTATGGGGGCAGCCCTGTGATAAGGTCACTGACATTTAAGAGCAACAAAAGAGTATTTGGTCCATTTGGAGTAGAAGAAGGAACACCCTTCACTTTCTCCATGGATGGAGGGAGACTTGTAGGGTTTAATGGAAGAAGTGGCTGGTATCTTGACTCGCTTGGATTCCATGTATCTCGTGTTCAACCTAAAAACCTCTTTCAAAAAGTTCAGAAAGGTCTAAGGAGGCTTACCAGTACCATCTCAAAATCGCCTGCACCTAAGGATGATGGAAATGGATATTGATGAAGAAATCTATCTAGAATAGAGTACATGGGATAAGACCACAATTTATGCCTTTTTCCCCGGACGAAATATGGGAAGCTATCTACTAGCTGTTGTCCTGTATCAATAATGTTTGTATCCAATGAGAATGAGAAGCATGAAGCAACTTGTGTTTTAGTATAAATCTTGAGCTTCATTTTTTTTGCACAAGCAATTATTATATAAACAGGAAACTCTTAGATTAGATCTGATTCAAGAGTCTCTTGATGAGCATAACCCACCTCTAAAATAATTTAACTCATTATTCAACTCAATTAAGTTCTCTCTCTCCCGACCGCATATGAATGAAATTTTTATGTATAGTAAAAAGAAGATTGGGAATTGACAGGAACCACATTAGCATTAGCATACATTGCAACAGCAATAAGTTCCACACTCAAGTAAAGGACATATATCCCAATTAAGTAAAGATTTACATATAATGTATCTTCCAACAATAATAAGCAGGGGATCCGGATTCACATTCAAGTGTGATCACAAAGGCATTTCTCATTTTATCCTCTAGCTTTAAGCTCTGCAAGCCGCCTTGATAAATCATCCTCATCAACCTTCTCCTGTGTCTTGGTTGTAACAGCATGAGCAGCTGGTTGAGGCAGCCCCACAGAGACCTCCAGCCCATAATCATCGGCAACCTGTTGCATCAAGCTGTTCACCTCCCCTTCTGGGGTGGACAATGAGGTAGAACCTGCCATTGCACTCTCCATAAACTCAGCCTGAACCTCCATGTTCACAAACTGCTTCTCAAACTGATCCATAGTCTCCGACATCTTCTGCAGATTACCTGCTCAAGAAAATACACAGATAACATCAGAATTTTTACTCTCTCCAAGCAACAAGAAATACACAATTCCCTGCAATACACAATTCTCTGCAATCAGGCAACCTAACATCCTTAAAAGAATATTCAAATTTATGGGCACAGAAAAATCCTAACTTTAACACCAAAGTAGAGAACCGTATTCCCACAGGAATAACTAGAGAAAGAAAAAAAAAAGAATTATCTAGGCACTCTCATTGAGTAAACTACACCTCAAAATTAACACCTGTTCTATGGACAATTTAATAAATATTCAGCAAAGTGAAAATTGTTATGCCCTAGTTCTCCAAAACATCCGATAACTTTTCCTTCTTTTTCCTAGATTGCCAAGCTTCTATTCTTTCCTTTGGAAAATCCAGCATTCGGGATGAGCCAAAAGAATCCTAAAAAGAGAAAAAAACTAATAAATATTCCCAAAACAACATCCATCTTGTTCTTCAATCCAATTTGCCGTGATGAGTTCATATGTTTTCCACTAAAATATTTACCTTCTAGTTTCTCAGCCGAACAAACTACAATCCACAAACAAATTTTGTAGCGATATAAAGTGACATGCATATATGTACAAAAATAAGCAGGACGAAGTAGCGACGGGATGCATATATAGAGAGAGAGAGAGAGGGTGGGGGGGAAATGGGGCAAATCGATGAAATACCGGTCGCTAGGGAGGATTCGAGAGACTTGACGATGTTAGCCATAGATTTGTTGATTGTAGTCATTTTGGCCTGGGTGTCGAGCCGCGCAACGACGGCGTCGAGGCGAGAGGCGAGACGGAGGTAGTTCATCTGCTCCGTCCGCTTGCGGATGGCATTCTCAGCATAGATCCGACCACCATCCATATTTCCCTTCTCGATCGCCTTCTTGACCTTCAATTTCTCCGCCTTCTCCTCCTTCTCGCACTTCCTAGCCTGGCGTTGCAGCGACTTTGACGTGAACTTGAGGTCCATGATCTGATTCAACAGCTTCTCCGTGTTCCCCATGCTGGTGCTCTTTTGGTTAAGATTAATCGAAGGTAGATGAATGGAATTTTGCGCTAGGGTTTGATTTCTGGAAGAGAGTTGGAATTGGGGATTTTTCCGTTTGACCTTTTGTAGGACTCGGTGCGTGTTTTGATAATTATATTCCTTGCCTCGTGTAGAATGCGTGTGAAGACTTCATATTGTTATTAATTAATTAATTAATTAAATTATAAGCAAATGATTTATCTTACTCTTATTTTTTTTTTCAATTTTATTTATTTGGTTGTCTAACGAGTAATTTATTAGTTAAATATTCAATTAAAAAGATATTATTAAAATGAAATTTATTATTATAAATAAAATAAACATTGATAAAATTTTAGTATTTGAATTAGTTAATTAAAAAAAATTAATTGTTAATTTTATCAATTTTAATTAATTTTAATGCTTATTTGACGTATTTATTAATAATTAGTTAACTTGCAATTGAAAGAAAATTCTATATACGAGAAATTCTTTAAATAATCTTTTTAAATCTCAAAAATAATAATCTTTTAAAAAAATTTTCAAAACAATTATTTATATATTTTTTAAATAACTTATAAGATATTTATAATTTATATAACATAATATTTAAAAGTTTATTAATAGATCATTATGTCTTTTAAGTGAATATTATATTTAAGAGGATTTTTTTTTAATTTTTTTATGTGAATGATATATTAATATTTGATAATAACAGTACATTCGTGATTTGAAACATTTTCTGCAAAATAGATTTTAAACTGAAGATGGCGGTCAACTTTTGATCTTTTTAGACGTGAAGATCAAAAGGTGTTTTAAAGGCATTATGATGGCTCGAAGAAAAAATCGTTCTAATTATGCTCAAACAAGCATGATGATAGTCATTAAATACGACTTTTTTTTTAATAAAAATGTAGAACTTTCATTTAAATTAAGAGAATATACTATTTACCAAGAAAGTAAAAGAGATTATACATTCAGTTCGATTATCTTTCTAAATGTATTGCAATATTTAACAGAAAACATGTCTTTTATTTACTCTCTTAAACTAATATTTAGTCAAATCTCATCGTTACTCCTATAAATTTGAATAGCTTACTATGTCACGGGGAGTTATTATTTTACCTACACCAATATTAGAGCTTGGTTGGTAATGATGAATTGTTTTTTATTGCTTAAATAAGATCTTTCTCATGTCATTAGTGTTGTTAGCCGACATTATAGTGTTTCTTGTAGCACTCTTTTGTATGTAAGTACATATATTTTGAGGTACTCGAAAAGATTATTAGTCATTGATTGAAAATAATATTATATACACATAGACTAATAGTCATGCATGCAAATTGAACTGGGTCGCATAGTGACAAAATATCCACCACTTTGATATTATTTATTTGTTGGCAAGAACTTCATGTTGTATAAGAGTAAGAGACAAATTATAATTATTAAATCTAGGACTAAGATAAAGTAAAAATTTATTGCAAAGACTGCTTGTGACTTTTTTTTAGTAAAGTATTAACTAGAGAAGTTAATTTTTATTATTAATAAAATAGTTACATATATTATATTAAATTTTATCTTCATGAATGACTAAAATATATATAAATTAATCATAACCTTTTTATGATAACTTTATACATAGAATTATTTGCACCAAGTTTTTTCAATGCACAGATGAACTAGTAGATTTGTTTCTTCAGTTCTTACAAGGTTCATGGGTATATGCTACAACTTGAGTGAGAAGTATGGAAAGATCTTTTTCTTTATATAATAGTTACATTGTGTAGAATTGTTATTGCTTAAGTAGTTTATAAGTAAAGATATTGATGTATTCTCTAAGATGGGTGGGTGAGCATAAATATCAGTTAATTTTTGGAGTTGTATGTCTTCGGTTTGTTGTTATAATTTATAATAATTTGTTTATGCTCTTGAGAAAAATAAAATTTCCTAATTGTTTTAATCTCTTTTTCATGTACTATTTTAATACATAAAATTTTTATTCAAGTAATACTGAGTATGTAACTAGCGTCAAGAATAGTTCCTTAATCTAATCAATGATGGGTGAAACGAAGAATTCAAGTTTAGCAATTTACACTCCAATATTAATGACTTTTCTTATATTTTTGTATAAGTTTAAGATTTTATTTTTGCTTTACTTTTCAACTATTGTGAGTGTTCTCTGATAGATTATCTTCAATTGTCTTGTTGAACGGAAGTTTGTTCAACTTATCAATATAAC